TACCCAGTTATGCCTAGATCCCACCACGCTGCAAACCTCACTGCAGGAGCTCACGCTTGCACAGCAGACACTCTGCTCTGCAGAACTATCTTCTTATCTCTCATGCTCTGTTTGAGACCCGAGTCCAGGGGTCAAAATTATTATTTTTTTTTCCTTTGAATGTTTTCCATTCCAGGACACACATGCTTGCTTGACTCTATTCATTGCTACCTCTTTTTGAACATTTTAAGAATCTGGGTATTTGAAGCTGGAGAAATGGCTTAGCAGTTAAGAGCACCGGCAGCAACTCCAGAGAACCAGGGTTCAATTCCCAGTGCTGGCATGGTGGCGCCCACTGTCTGTAACTCCACTCCCAGGGGATCTGCTGCCCTCTTGTGGTTTCCAGAAACACTGCATACATATTATGTACAGACAGAAATTCAGGCAAAAGATTCATAACATATAAAAAGGAAATGGATAAAAACTTCAAAAGGGAATCTAGATATTTCAATAATTTTCATGATGTAGCTCATGATAACAAAATAAAATGTTTTTCCTAAATGTAAAATATTGTAATCATCGAGGGAAACATAATTTTAGCGTGTGTGCTTCCCAATTGTCAATGGTTCATCTGCGATCAGAGGGCAACTGTACTGAGTCGGTCAGTTCCCTCCCTCCTTCTCTTCATGGGTTCCAGGGATCAAATTCCTGTCGTCAGGATGCCAGTGTAGGCAGCCAGTGCCTTTACTTGCTGGATCATCTTGCTGAACTTCATAGTCATTTTTCATCGGCATACCAACTGGCTGTGTGTCACTGAGGTTTGCTCACCACAGTGTCTCTGTTAACACTCTTAAGCTATTAATTGTGTGCATCGCACGCTGCCCAGTCAGGCTTCAGGCTTCCCCACCTGAGAAAGGCATACTTGAAAACCAGGGTAGCAGTTACATCACTAGGATGTGTTGACTGTCCCTCCAGTGTGCGTGCTTTTAAAGTAGACACTTACAGTGCTGCAGCTTTCAGCCTTATCATGTGCTGATACTGAGCTGAGGAATAACACAGGGCTTTCTGCCATCATCCTGACCCCACACCCACAGCGAGCCTTTCCTTGATGGTCAAAGCCAACTCCAGGCTGGACTTGATTTTGAAGGAAGTCGGTAGCTTATCATGTCTGACGTTCCAGGCCTCCTGCCTTGATAAATTACGTTTGCCTAATATGGTTACCTCTCCGGGTCTACCGGTGGACTCAGAAATGTGTAACATTAGTAATAGAATTGCTAATACAGTGTGGATAATTTAGTATTTATCTGAACCTTCTAAAAATCATGATGAGAAAATCGAACACCACCTATATCAGAGTAAATAAATAAAACTTTATTGACCTTTCAATTTAAAATAAGTTACTCTAACAGATTGAAGTTAAACAAAATTATGTATAAAAATTATTTTTAAAATCCTAACAATGAATACCAAACCAAAGCTTTAGATCGTTAGACAATGCAGTCAGTGGTGAGAGCACCAAGGAAGGGTTCATAGGGCAGGGTAGGAAGGGAGGGAGAGAAGGGAACAGAGGGGGAAGTGGGGGAGGGGAGACGGGGAGGGGAATGGGGAAGGGAGGGGAAAGGCAGAGAGAAAGGTAAAGGCAGAGGAGGGAAAGAAAGTGAGGAAATTATAAATGCAGGGAAGTTTTGGAGTCTGGACAAAAATTCTTTTTTCTTTTTAACAAGGAGATGCTTACTTATCCCTAGCGTACAGACTTTGGAAGCCCATTCCCCATAGAGGGATGCTCTCTCGGCCTAGACACACGGGGGAGGGCCTAGGCCCTGCTCCAAATGATGTGGCAGACTTTGATGATCCTCCACGGAAGGCCTCACCCTTTCTATGGCGCAGAAGAGGGATGGGATGGGGGTCAGTGAGGGGCATGGGAGGATGGGAGGGAGGGGGAACTGGGATTGATATATAAAATAAGATTATTTCTAATTTAAATAAGAAAAACAAGGAGAATTAATAACTCAATTCCCCGGGTACTTATAATTTCTAGGTTATAGCACATTAAAAAGCCAACATGTGTCTTATACAAAATATATTTTATCAGAACTTACTTCTTAGAATATATCGGGACTCCTGGCACAACTTTAGAAATCTATCCTATGCCTCAAAATCTTGACCGTACAGGAAATACAGAGTTTGGATTAATGGCTTCTTCTCCAGTGGTCCTCACCGGGCCCCTGTGAGTCAGAACAATGGCAGGGTCTCTAGCCACACTAAGGGATGTCAATGGAACCCAAGGGGTGGGTGAGATTGTAGACAGGCATAAAAGGCAGTAACCAAGACAGACCAGCCATGCTGCTCCAGGGGCAGTCCCAACCAGCCAAGGCAGGTGCCGAGCAGGACAGTGTGGCAGTGGGCTAGACTGTGATGGGTGATGCTTGTGTCCTGCCTGTGGCATGGTGACTCAGCAAACTTGAGATTATGAGTTCAAAGCCCTCAGTCTACTTGGCAGAAGGACTTGAGTGTGTTTCTCATGGACTGCTGCCGTCTAACCCCAGCAGGTGTCACAGGCTTGACATGCCCCTTGAGAGGTCATGCTGCCATGCTGCGTCACGGAGATGGCACCCAGAAGGGCAGAGGATTATTGTCACGTCCTTTTAGTTCGTGATATTGTGACTCGGCTAGTTGGTTTAATCCAGGAGTCTGGAGAGTTCCTCCACTGATGGACAGCTGTCAAGCTCCCTGAAGAGAAGCCACACCTTAGCCTCCTTTTGCTGCCTGGTATCATGGTGCTAAGGAACTTCTAAGTGAGATGCTCTTCTACACAACTGGAACTGGAGACATATGATGTGGCACTCAGTGCTTCCAGACCTTTCGCTCTCAACAGAGCCTGTGTATCTTCCCAAGAGGCTGGACAAACTCAAGAATAATTTTGGCAGGATTTGCCTGGTGGCAGCCTCCACGACAGAGGCACCGAAGGTGCATGCAGAAGGCAGTGAGTTCATAATGAAGGGCAAAACCCTCCAGGCCCACTGTGGAGCAGTCTGTGGGGGCAGCACCAAGGTTCTTGACCACAGCCGTCCACCAGGCACTCCCAGTCCCTCCTTGGGAACGTAGGTCACCATTCACTCAAGTCCCAAATCTCACCTTCTTGCCAGTTTTCAGGTCTAAGCATTGGCCAGCTTGCTTACATGCTCTCCTTTGGACCAATCATCAAAGATCACTCTTGGTTAACGGTTCATTCTGGAAGTGCTGTATAAGATGGGTAGGGACCACATGCTGGTGGCATGGCTACATTCCTTCTAAGGGTAAATCGACACAGACTAGGGAATCTCAGTCCACAGAACATTCTTGGAATTTGATGGATAATTTTCTTCCTCACAACTATATTCAGCCATACTATTTACCGGGTGTTTCTTTCATGAGCCAAATAGAACTTTCTTGTACAGGCTACTCTTTCCCACAGTTCATAACTATGCCTGTGCTGTGATAGCCCTGTCCCCTGGATATCCCCAGGCCAGGTTGCAACACACTGCTAAGGGACAGTGTCAGCCCTCCAAAATTCTTGGTTGCATACTATGCCCTCCACTAATATTTGTAGCCACACTACATGCCACTCTTATAATATGTACAATATTTGTGAAAAGATTATTTTTTAAAAAAAGAAACTAAACAGTATTTATGGAGTCTTTATCCCATATGTTCATAGACCTACTCCAATTTCCCTGATTTCTTTAACCAAAAAAAAAAAAAAAAAAAAAAAAAGTGCGTGTGTTGAACTAACCCTGCATCTCTGGGATAAAGGTCATGGTAGATCGTCTTTTTGATGAATGTCTGTACGTTATTTGCAAGCATTGTACTGAGTATTTTAGGATTTATGTTCACCAGGGCCATCGGCCTCCTCTTCTTTATCTTTCATTTGATTATTTGCTAGCTTTCTTGCTTTCCAGAATTCTTTCTTTTTGTTGCCATGTCTTTACTTGCTTTGGTGTTAGCATGAAACTGGCTGTGTAACAGGAGTTTGAGAATGCTCCTCCTGCCTGTGAACTTTTTCTTTATCTCTTGACTTCGCTCCTCCTGCCTGTGAACTTTTTCTTTATCTCTTGACTTCTTATCATGAAGTAATGAATGAGTTGTTTAATCTCTGGTCCATGTGAACCTGATGCACACCTCTGTCCTCTGAGGGCACTGGGCACACATGAAGTCCTGGGGCGTATGTTCAGGGAAAACAACAACCCTCATAAAAATAAAGGAGCAAACCACTGTACCTGAACAAAACAACAAGAAAGAAATCTCAAAGGCCTTCTCTCTAGACAGAGGAGAAAAAATACAGGGAGGCAGAGACAGCTGAGCTCAGAGTCCTTTGGCGATCAAGAAAGACAGCAAAAAGAAATTAAGGAGATTGTTCTTAATTTAACACACCATGAGACCTATACAGTCTGTCAACTGTGTTAAAAATACAACCATTATTCTACAGAAATGTTGTGTTTGTTATGATCCTCTTTTTTGTACTTAATTGGACTAATATTTGAAGGATGAGAAAGAAAAAACTATTTGTGGACACACAATTCTTTCATATCTCACATTCACACACCAGGCAGCAGCGGCAAATGCCCACGGCAAACCCTCTGAGGCACTCAGAGCATTCAGGGCTGCCAGGCTTAGCTGGTTATGCTAGCGTTTCTTTACTGCTCCAAATACACTCTTTCTTAAATGCCAAGTTTACCTAGTGAAAGTATTTTCTTGCCAGCTTATTCTAGGAACCAAGTTACCCTAAAATCACTATAAGCTTATTAAATATCACTCAAAAATATTTATACACATGTCTTTTGTGTAACAAAAAAAAAGCAAGGTCATTTGTTGTTCTAGCTGAGATGTTTCTCAACTAAATTTAAAAAAAAATACTCCAAGAAATCCTTTTGATTTTTACAGACGATAGGAAGATCTGTCTAAAAGTCATCCAACAGAGAGAGGGTCTTCGACAGCCTTAGATCCCTCACTTCTTTGCTTACATTCATCTCACCTGCAAAATCTCAGCAATAATATTCTGGTCTGAGGCCATCGCTTTTAACATTCCCGGGAGAGTCTACGCTTGCCCGAGAGCACAGTAACAGCTTCTCTGTGTCATCTTTATGCCTCCGAGCCCACAGCTCTCCAATACTCTGTGATCTGGGCGACAGGGTCTCAAACTGGATATACGTCTCTTTTGCCAAATCATCTTCCCAGAAAGGATCTGATGTACATTGCAGTTTGCAGACTTTATACAATAAAAAACAAATTAGGGGCACGACTATAACACAGGCCGTGCTGGTCACCACTATAAGGAGTGACCACTGGGAGTCCCATTCTTCCACTCTGTTGGTAGCAAAGATGATACACTGGTCCTTCCGGGGAGCCAGTCCTTTTGGACAGACGCATGCCACATACTGACTGCCGGGCTCCAGGCCGTCTATGGTTGCCTGGTTCTTGCCGTAGTCTGTGTTCAGCCGCAGCAGGTCCTTCTCTCCGTACTTGGAATAGAACACAGTCACAGCAGACTCCTGTGTGGCGCGGCTTAAGTTCCATGTCAAAGTCACGCTCGCTCCAGTTTCACTGGCCACCCTGAGGTCGTGCACAGTGACATTTGTTTCCATCGGCATTGCCTGATCCAACAGTGCCAACTCCTCTTTCTTACTTGCGCTGACGGGAGGAAACTTACTTCTGCTCTTCTCTAGCTCTGCCTTGCTTTTCCCGCCAGGGTGGAGCTCGGGTGGCCGGTAGCTCAACCTGAGGGTGCTTTCTGAGCTGCTGGATTTTACACTTGTGGTTGCAGGCGCAACAGAGAAGGCAGGGGGCAAAGGAAAGGAAGAAAGAGGCGATGGGGATGTAGACAGAGCAGGTGAGGGAGTGGAATGGGGAAAAGTGGAAGAGATCCCTGGTGACAACCGTGGCGGAGGTAGAGGTGTTGCTCTTCCTGCTCCCGGCTGGTGACCCTGTTCAGGGTGTTCTCCAGTGCTGCTTTCTGAAGTGGCTGGCAATAGGGTGGTCGTACTAGCGCCAACAACGGTCAAAGAAACCACAGCTTCTGACGACCCAGCAAGATTCTTGGCTTTACATCTGTAATCTCCAGCATCCTTGTAGGAGACGCCTGTCAAGCTTATGATGGACCATCTGGCTCCTTCTCCTGGAGACTCCTGAATTACTAGAAGAAAACAAATGAGTACTCACTCCATGAGGGAACAAAAGGACACCTTGGAACAATCGCACCAACTAGGAGGGAAAGAGATTCTGTATGTGTCCCTGTGACACGGGGGTGTGATGTGGGGACACTGTGTATACTCCTGCTGGCAGGTGATGATGCTGGAAACGGTTCACATGAACTCTAAGACCTGCCTAGTGCTGTGTGGCCTGCCGCTTTGGGAAATGATCACTTAAAAGTGTGTGTGGCGGGTGGAAATCAGGAGATCCAGGTCACAGCAAAGTTTTGTCTCCCAAGCAGAACGCAGTTGTGTACAAGGAAACTGGTGTGTACAGACCAATGTCTCTGCGTTTGTGAAACAAAATTAATCTTAAAAGCTCCCTCCCAATGTTGAGTGTGAATTTATAAAAAGTTTATCTTAAAACTTGGGGCTACACAGAAAAACAAACAAAACCAAAACAAGAAGACAACTATTTCTCAAGATTTTTTTCCTCATTGTAATATAATACAACTATGCACATTCCTAGTAGGCACAAAAGATCATTTTTTGGAATAGGGAGTTGTGGCTTTTACTCTGATCATTCACCCTTTTTTGTTTGTTTGTTTTTTGTGACAGGGTTTCTCTGTGTAATCCTGGCTGTCCTGAAACTAGCTCTGTAGACCAGGCTGGGCTCAAACTCAGACATCTGCCTCCTTAGTACTAAAATTAAAGGTATAGGCTACCACTTCCCAGCTGACCACTTCCCAGCTGTCATTCATCCCATATTAAACTCAAACAAACTAGAGAATTATAAGCTCACTAGTCTGCAGAGTAATATATAGAAGTATGCAGACAATTGCTGTACTTATTAGTTAAACACTAAAATTTTATCTGAAACCAAGACAGAAGCTTCCTGAAGGATAGTATTGCATAAAGCAAGGTAATGATATCTGGGATGTGCACTCAGTAGTTTAAACTGTGGGCCATCTGCCAGCAATCTATAGGAATGCTAGACTTTAACTTCTTTATTCCATCAGGTTTTATTTTTTTTAACAAGACTAATTGTATCTTTGCTTAAGTAGGCTGAAGCCTGAACCTGATCATCACAGGGTTTGAAAAGTCTATATAATTAGTATTTCTAAAAATTATGTTTCTGTCCCAGAGTAGGCTCTCTGTGTAATTTAGTATTTAAATAGAGTTGTTCAAAATTTGTAAGAAAGTCTTTTTAAAAATGTTTCCAAGGTTTTTCACTTTAAAATGTGTGTATCCAAGGTAACAAAAAAGACAAAAGTCTTGGTAGCAATCATTTATTTACTTCTCTATGCAGATTCTACACAAGGTAAGAAAATAACTCTATGGTCTAATTCTTTTCTAAGTATTTGTATAAAGTGAAAAAATATTGACCAATAAAATGTACTCCTGAAATCCTTTGTGTTCAGAGAACTAGGAATATAGAACAGAAAGTCCTAGGTTTGATTCTAAGCATTGTAACAAATTTTCATTTAAATTTCTAGGCTAAAGGTGTATCTTTGCTGTCAGAGCACTTGCCTAGTATGCATAAGGCCTTGGGCTCATTTCCCACCTGAAAACAAAGACACTGTAAACCTTGATGTTGTAAGAATTCACAGCCATTTAAAAAAAAGAGAGAGCTGGGTATGGAGGCATATGGCTTTAATCCCAGCACTCCAAGGCAGAGGCAGGCAGATCTCTGATTCCAAGGCCAGCCTGGCCGACAGAGCTAGTAGCCAAAGCTACACAGAGAAAGCCTGTCTTGAAAAAAAAATAACAAAATAAAACTTACACAAAACACATGAGATGAAATCTATACTGATCATACCTGTATAATTAACTGGTGAGCTGTCAGTTCTAGTCCACATCAGCTGCGGGGTGGGGTAGCCAGTGGCATCACACCTCAGCAGAACATTGCTACCCAGAGCGGATGTGATTTTGGTAGCTGAGGTCATCACTGATGGCTTCAGACACTGTTCCAACTCCGCCCTCTGGAACAAGATTCCTTCCAGGCGCTCCGGTTCACTGCAGACCATCAGAGGGTCAACAAGTATAACCGCATGGTCAGCAACTTTTGACAGCTCAATCACTTTGGAAATGTGACAGTCACAGAACCAAGGGTTGTCCTGTAAACCTGAAACGCAGAGAGAAGGGGGACAGTAAAGGTCACCCTGATGAATTAAGTTTTCAGCACAGCTTATCTTGTGACAGAGGGTTGCCACACTATCTCCCTAACAAATGAAGATCTGGGAGAGACTTTGCCCTGGAAGCCAGCAACCTCAGTGAGCATATCTTCTTCTTGTATTTCCCAACCTCTACTCCAAACACCAACCTTTACTCTCTCATTTAATCCCAACAATGCTGTGAGGAAGTCAGAACTATTGTTGTTGTTATTATTATCATCATTATTATTATTTCCATTTTAGAGGTGAAGAAACTGAGACACAGAGGAGCTAAAATCTTGACTAACATTACATAGCTAATCAGGATGGGACGCAAGATTTGAAGCCAGGTACCACAGAATTCCATTAAGTACAGGGATGGAGATGCATAGTCCTGGAGTGCTCAGAGAGTACCTTCTAAGTCATCATCACACAATGCTAAGAGTTGCTAGCTCAGCCTGGAATGTGCTGTGGGTTTGGGTAACTTGGAGACATACTGAGGTAAAATGAGGCCAATGGAGTAGAGCTAGCAGTAGGAACAGATAAGATAAACAGATAAAAAATGGGGTACAGAACTGAAGAAAGAATTCTCAATAGAGGAAATCAAAAAGGCTGAAAGACACTTAAGAAAGTGCTCCACATCCTTAGCTATCTGGGAAATGCAAATCAAAACAACTTTGAGATACCATCTTACTCCTGCCAGAATGGCTAAAATTAGAAACACCAATGACGACTCATGTTGGAGAGGATGTGGAGAAATGGGAACACTCCTCCAGTGCTGGTGGGAGAGCAAACTCGTACAGCCATTTTGGAGATCAGTATGGTGGTTCCTCAGGAAAATGGGAATTAGTTTACCACAGGACCAGGCAATCCCCCTCTTAGGCATATACCCAAATGATCCACATCCATGCAACAAAGACATCTGTTCAACTATGTTCATAGCAGCACTATTTGTAATAGCAAGAACCTGGAAGCAACCTAGATGCCCCTCAATTGAAGAATGGTTAATGAAGATGTGGCACATCTACACAATGGAATACTACTCTGCAGAAAAAAATAATGGTATCTTGAAATCCGCAGGCAAGTGGATGGCACTTGAAGAAACCATCCTGAATGAGGTAACCCAGTCACAAAAAGAGGAACACAGTATGTACTCACTCATATATGGATTTTAGACCTAGAGCCTATAATTCACACCACCAGAGGAACTAGGATACAAGGTGTATTCTAGGAGATTCATACAAAGTCCCTCACAGATCCGGGAAGGGACAAGTCCCCCAGAGTACAAGAGAAGTGGGGGGGGGGCAGCGAATGGAGAGAGAAGTAGGAGAAAACGAGGGGGGGAAGGAAAACACATGCAACTAGGAAGATTGAGCCCGGTTAGGAATAGAAGACAGGAGAGAGAGAGAGAGAGAGAGAGAGAGAGAGAGAGAGAGAGAGAGAGAGAGAGAGAACATAAAAGAGGGAGCCAATATTGGTTTGAAGATAAAATTGAACACAAAGAAAGGTCTAGAGAACTACAAAACTACCGCCAACTAACAATTTGAGCATCCATGGAAAGGCTACCATAAATGCCATTCCCGGATAGTGAGATCAACAACTAACTTATCCATGGAGTCCTCAACTAATGCCTGTTGGAAACAGAAGCAAACACCCATACATAAACACTGAGTCGAAGTAGAACCCAGATGCAGATGGAGAGGACAAGACCATGAGGCAGAAACACATAGAGATAGCTTACCTGAACAAGGAGGAACTAACGGGCCACCAGACTGATAGCTGGGAAGCCAGCAGGGGACTGACTCAGGCCCCCCTGAATATGGGTCTCAGCCAGAAGGACTGAGCAGTCTAAGGGACCTCATACAGTGGAGCCAGGATGTATCCCTGGTGCACAAAAGGACCTTGTGAACACATCCCCCATGGAGGGATAACTGCCTTATTCTAGAGATAGGAGAGAAGCCCTAGTCCCTACTTCACATGACCTGTCAGATCTACATGACCCCAATTGGATGGCATTCCCCTACATATGGAATTGGGGTGGGGGGATGGGAGGGGAGGGTGGTCAGGGTGCATTGAGATGGCAGAGAGGGCAAAAGGGAGGGAAGGGGGAGAGAGGGAGGGAGGGAGGGAGAGGGAACTGGGATCGACATGTAAAATAATAAATTAAATTAAAAAAATGCTTTGACTCCAAAATTTAAGTTGAAGGACAAGTTACTGGGGAAAAGGATTTCTATTTTTGTTTCCACAGAAAATGAAAAGCTGTGGATTCCTTCCAGACTAATGTGGTTTCATCAAGCCAGACCGCCTGAAACAGAGTAACAGGTGATCCTACATTCAAAACAGCTGGACAAAGCAGCCTTACAGACTACAGCCAGGATTTCTGCATCTTCTTAGAATCCCCCACGACAGTGCCCCTTGCCAGCAGGAAGTAGTTTGGAAAGACTGACACCCAAATTCCCAAATATTGTGTATAAATGTTTGTTTTCATTTAAATGGACTTGGTTAAATTAAAAAAAAAAAAACAGGAAGTGACATTGCATGGGTGTCATACATGGTGGCCACCAAGGTGATGTGCTCAAAATCTCAGTGCAAGAGGAACCAGCTGCAAGGAATACAAAAGCTGAAGGTTTCCAGCTGTGATCTCATTCCTGTCTAGCTCAGCCTTGGCAACTGTGAGCTAACACCATTTGTTCCTTAATTGCCATTGACAACTTGAAGGAAGATGGGTTTGCAGTTATCAGAAAGCAGAAGAAAGATCCTTGCTGTGGAATGGCAGAAAGGTCGGTGGCATGGTCATCAGGGATGAGCATGGAGAGTAGAAAGCATGTTTATGTAACAGTATATTCTCCACGTAAGGGGATGTTCAGGCAGAACATTGAAGCTGATGCTGGAGAGGGAACTCTTTGCTAGTAAAGGAGCTGCAGCCTAAGAACCATTCAATATAAAAGAACCAAAGCCATTGGGCTAATTCCCAGCCTCTCCAAAATTACCAAATTAAGAAAGACATTCAGAGCAAAACGATCCATAGTGACTTTGGAAGTCTCACAGAGACCCAAGGTGGTTCTTTAGAACATGCCCTCGGACAAATGTCTCTAAAGATGCTTTTCTGCAACCCATGGAGTGGTCTTGCCACAAGCTTGAGAAGGCCTTTATTTACGGCTTTTACTGATAGCATGGGATCTGAGCTGAGAAGGAAACAGAACTGTGACTTAAGGAGTCTAGCAGTGCTCTGCACAGTGGACTGCCCTTTTGTAAGGCTGTTTTCACTGTAGCTTAGTGGCACTGTGACAACAGGCCAGGAGCTCATTCTTCTGCCAGGACTGGTTACTTTTTAATCTCCCATTTGAGAAGCTTGTTTTTGTCCTATGGGTGAATAACCTTGAGTTACATTAAATCCTGTGAATCTGTGACTAGTCTGCTAATTAATATTAATTTGCACTCTTTGCTTTTAATATTGGCTCATTCACCTGGTTGTATGCCATAAGCAGACTTCTTAGTTTCTTTCTTATATTGAATAACTGAGTGTGGCTATGAAACCTAATATCTCGCTGAAATTCTAATTCCAGAAAGCTCTACATTATGCAATATGCAATAGCCTCTCCCAAAATGTATGTAATGGCAGCCATTCTGCCACAGATTTCATAGGGGAAAACACACTTAATTAGAAGAAAGGAGATTTAGGAAAAATTAAATATTATGATTTGTTAAATCATAAAGCCTCTAAAATGATCTTTCTGCCTCAGCGGGTACAAAAACCATTCCAAAACAGACCAAAGCCCTTTAATATAAGACCTGAAACTAAGAAGCTACTAGAGGAAACATGTCAAGATATAGGCAGAAACGACGAATTTTTGAATAGGATTCGAATACGTGAAGAAGTAATAGCAAGAACCACCAGATGGCATTGTATCAAATTAAAAGGTAATCACAGCACAGGAAACAATTATCAGCAAAGAGACAAGCAACTGATAGAATGAGAGAAAATTCTATCCAGTCACTCATCCACCATGGGAGTAGTTATCAGAATTCATGAAGAACTCAAAGAACTAAACAGCATAAGCACAAATAATCTGAAAAAGAAATTGGCAAAGGATCTGAACACTTTCCAAGCAAAGAAGTGTAAATATAAAAGTATTTGCTATCCTTAGTCATCGTAGGATTTCGAAATTGCAATTGAGAATCCATCTCACTCCAGTCAGGATGGCTAACATGAAGAAGGCAAAGGATGTGATGTGGCCTGGTGATGGAAGCCTTGCCTAGTTTGCCTTCCATGCCTGCCACCCCAAGTTCAATAGAAGGGAAGAAGTGAACGGGAGAGAAAGGGAGGGGGAGAAGAGGAGGTAAAAAAAGGAAGATAGGAGAGGAAGACAAGACAACATGGATTCTGGGAGATGCAGGAGAAGGCAGCCCCTTATATGCTGTTAATGGGAATATAAATTAACCCAGTCACTAGAAAAATCATTAAGGCCCAGCAGTGGTGGCGCATGCCTTTAATCCCAGCACTCAGGAGGCAGAGGCAGGAAGATGTCTGTGAGTTTGAGGCCAGCCTGGTCTACAAAGCTACACAGAGAAACCCTGTCCCAAAAAATCAAAAACAAAACAAAACAAAACAAAAAATAAGAATGTAGCAAAAAAAAAAAAAAAAAAAAAAAAAAAAAAAAAAGCATGACTCATACATCTGTAGTGCCAGCACTAAGGCACAAACGTTATAGGTTCCAGGAAAGCTGAGGTTACATTGTGAGACTCTGTCTCAGAAAATAATTATACTTCCTCTGAACATATATGTCCAGAAAATCAAAGTCAGATTGCTCTAGATACCTTTGTCTCATATTTGCCTTGTTACCATTAACACAGGCAAGCTAAGAAATCAGCTGAGGTGCCAAGAGATGAATGGATAAGGAAATGTGGTAAATACACACACAGTGGAACTATCTAGTAAAACTTGGTAGCTATCAGCATGCTATCTAGTTTT